AAGCAACTGAAGAAGATAACAACAAGTCTATGTTTGCCCACAAGCGGCCATTTTTGACGGCTTTGACAGGTCGTTGGAATGCCTAATTGTCTCAATTTGTCTACTGAATGCGATACAGAAAACAAACTCACTAATTTTCCTTCAATTTCGGCTCAGTTCAAAGCAGCATGGCCTTTGTGGTGAAAACCGCCCGCACTTTACGGAACAACTGGAAAAAATCAACCTTTGCTGTCATTGTCTTGACATGGGGGGGCTCCTACACCAAACACTACTTTGAGTGAGTAATTTACGCAAATTTTCACATAAACCCATGAACTTGATCGACATCGAATGCTCGTTACAGCACCCGAAGCCTGATGAAGGGCTATTGCGAAAGGGCCGCCCAGTTGGGAAGTCGCCCGATTGCTGTTAACCAGAACCCGCGAACTGTGACTGTAATCCTGAACCCGAACGCGAATAAACGCAAAGCACAGGCGGAGTTTGAGAAATATTGCGCCCCTCTGCTTCATCTAGCAGGGATCAGCTTGGAGGTGATCAAAACAGAGTCAGAAGGTCATGCCAAGCAGCTGATTGAGTCTGTTGCTGATGCAGAAGCTGTGGTGGTTGCTGGAGGCGACGGAACCTTGTCTGAGGTGGTCACTGGGCTTCTGAGGCGCACCAACGAGAACTGCGTAGTTCCCATTGGTAAGACCGAAAGCGTTTGATGCGAAGAGAGTATTGAAGATTTTGCTTGCAGGAGTTCTGCCCCTGGGCAAGAACAACACAGTGGCCAGGCTGCTGTTTCCTGCGGAAACCAAACTGGAAAAAGTGAAGTCTTTGGCGGACGCCACCATGGCAGTAATCGAGGAAGTAACGAAGCCCGTGGACGTGATGAGGATCGAAATACTCGACACTGAGGCACATGAAAGTCGCAAGCCGATCTACGCCGTTTCCGGGATCAAATGGGGCGCCTATCGGGACGCCGAGGTGAAAAAGGACAGCTACTGGTACTTCGGGGGGCTGAAGAAGTACGCCACTTATCTTCTGAACGGGTAAGGCCGGATGCACTAACCCACTGGGAATCGAAGATATTCAATAAATGGCTTCATAGACTGAAAGGCAGCTTGTCCTGGGACTGCCAAGCTCAACTAGTGTACAGTCCGCCTTGCACGGGCTGCTCCAACTGCCGTCAAGTACAAACCAGCACCCAGCCCAAGTCCTGGTGGTTTCAAAGGTACAACTCCCTAATCAATCAACTGGGCATTAGTTTTATCAAGAAGGACGACAGCTTGAAGTACCAAAGAATCCACAATCCCCAATGCACGCAGCAGATGGAAAAGCAAGTGACCACCGCCGATTTGACTCTGTTCACCTCCAATGCAATTAGGACTGACGGAGACCCCAAGTTGAATCTCCGCATCGGGCCGCAGAACGTTGACTACATGGACTTTGTGAAACAAGGCTGGAAATCCGAGCTGGGCGAGAGTAGAGAGGTAATCGACCCCAGATTGGTGTCCTGCAACTGGACTTTCTGTTCATCTGCAGGTCAAGGAGGCGATTGAGGCCCGGACGATAGAAATCAACCCGAAGAAGGGCAGTGAAGAAGCGTGGTTTTCCATCGACAATGAAAATTACGAGGTGAAACCGATCAGGGTGACATTGCTGCCGAAGGTGTTGAACATGTTTTGTCAGGAGGCCGTTTAGGAGTGGTGACCGATTGACTTTGTTTTCTACACGCGGTGCGAAAATTTAAGCGAATTAGCCACTGAAGAAGTTTGTCTTATTTAACAGATCTTACTCCTAGCAAAGGTAAAAAGGAGCAAAATCAACGCGATTTTAATGAAATATTCTGGGCTTCCGAGTCAATTATCAGTTCCAGATGGTAAAGATTTCACCTTGCCACTTCGTTTGGAAGTTGCACCCTTTTAAAGGAGGGTGGGTAAATGTGTGAAATATTTCATTTTAGCTGGCAGAATGCTTGCTTGAGAAGCAGCCACTTTAGCACAGTGAAAATGAAGGTTGTAGTTAAAAGCTAAGAAAATCTCATTAGAATCCGAGTGTCTGCTTCATTTTGAAAAGCCCTTGAAGATGGACGTATAGTTTTCGAAACTTGTGCTAGGGCTCAGGAAACAATCGAAGCTGCGGGAAGTCGCAACATTAGCACTAAGCTAAACAGAAAATCCCGATTTTTAAATCAGTTCTGATAGGTACTTGAAATTTTAGCTCGCAAAAAACTGAGATTATTTTTTAAGGGCGATTTAAGATAAATAATCTTTATTTCCTATAGAAAAAGGCTATCGACCCAATCGGTCTTTCTGCCCTTGAGTAGTACATATATGTCTTAGCCTAGCTTATTCTAAAATTAAGTCCTATTCCTAACACTGGTATAATTGAATCAGTGATAAAAAAAAAGAAAAAAAATTCCCGGCCCACAAAACAAACAGGTCTTAGTCGTTAGTTCAGTTGCGTTTGTAGGTGTTCTAGTCTGTTGGGGTACGAAAACGGGAATGTTTTGCCCGTCTTGTTAGGCAAAGGGGATTCAGTATGGTCCAGTTGTGAGGATTGTTTGTCCATTTTGTCTGTAAGTGTATTAGTCTTTCCGAAATTTTGGTCATGTTTGTGCGTTCGTATAGTAGTTGGTTGGAAGGGTTGTGCAG